TTTCCTATTTAGCATCTTTTAAAAAACAAATCAGTTGATAATATGGGTAAATGTAGTAATCACATTGTTTTTTCATGTGAAACCTTCATAAGAGTGTATATCAGTCATACCTTAATAAAAAATTTTTTTTAATTGGCCTTCTTTGTTTATCATCCCAGTGACTGGCACATCATCGCTCCAGAACAAGAGTCATCTTTGATACCTCTCACTCCAGGCTGCCTCTCCTTCCCCCCAAAGGTGTAACCCATCACCAACAATTGCTAAATTTATCTCCCAAAAGTCTCTTAAACCTGCCGTTATTCTCTACTTCTACTACTGCCTTTGTATTCCAAACTCTTATTATCTCTTACCTGGACAATTCCAACAGCTCCCCCAAATGGTTTTCCCACATCTATTCCCCTGTTTTTCCACAATGATTATAACTGATCTTTATCATGGCTTGCCACCCCACTCCAGGGTCTATGCCACCTTCTCTTTGGTCTTTGAGGTTAGGAGCTTTGGTCTTCTTAATAAATTTTCTCTCCTACTACCAGACCACTGAACATGCTATTCCCATATCTTTAAAGCTCTTCCTAAATAAATCTTATCATTGATATCTCAGTTCAAAGTTATTTCCTCATGGAAACCTTCCTTCCCTGATCCGACGAGATCCCTCTCGTACCATATTACTTTCCTTCACAGCACTAGCTGTGATTTTTTATGTGTTGTTCATAGATTAATACAGCCTTCAACTCTTGCCTGCAATATCCATGAGAGCAATGAATTAAATTCCCAGCACCAGGCAAAGTGCCTGCATAGAGCAGGTGCTCAAGTATTTGTCAAATGTGCAAATATTAAGTCTACAGTAACTAACATGATCTCTACCTATAGCTCACATACCTATAGCTCACAATATCTCAAATTTCTTCAATTCAGCATTTTATTAATCTTGATCAGTATCAACATCCAAATCAGTCTTAGGTCTTTATTTTCATTTATCCGTATCATGAAAGCAAAGGTTGAGTTTGTATAAATTTAAATAAAAATCTATTACTATAGAGCTTGCTTCATTTACCTCTTCAAAATCCATGTAGTAGTTGGTTGTCCTAAAATTATAGCAGTGGATTCTTAAATTAACAAAAATTGGAAAATTCTGCTATGTTCTGCTTATGTTTTGAAATCTTAACTTTATCTACTATTCTTAGTAAATCAATTGTCAAATGCTCAAGTAAGTGCTAACTATAAAGAGCTGTAGCCAATAGTCTCTTTAAATCAACAACTGATTAAATGCTGTAGGTCTGGTAACATGTTAAATCATATATATGGAGAAAATAAAGCATGAATACGAACATCATGAGAAATAGTACCTATCAGAATATATTTATACATAAAATACATTTTCACATAAAAATCAAAAGGAAAATGTGACAAGGGAACTTTATACTCTAATTGGAGAATTTCCTTTTTTATGTTCAATATTTAAACAGTTAATACTTAAATTAATATTTTAGTATTTATATTAAACATAAAACAATATTTAACCAAGCGGAAAAGATTTTTCCCAAAATATGAAATCAGCGCCATCAAATTTACATAATCCTACTGCTCAATCAACATAATAAGCCAAAGACTCAGGTGCATAAAGTAATACCGTACATTTCTGTAGGTTTATAAGGGGCCATACTGTCTTGTTCACTACAGTAATATTTAGGCCCTGGCACAAGCAGGTACTGAATGAATATTTACTGAAAAAAAATACATGAATATAGAATAGGAAAGTTTGTTTTAAGCTATTTTGCATACTTGATCTCTCCCGCTTCGATTCCGTTTGTGTATTGCTATTTTATCCTATTAGCAATTACAAAAGTGGTACAATTAACAGATAATATATTAAGTTAAAGTTAAAAAGAAAACTACTTATATAAATATGTAATAATAAGGAACAAAAGCATTTGAAAGGTAAAAATAGTCTCTCTCCTTTGTTAACAGTGGTAATTAATGAAAAATATTATATAGCACTGACGTTTCAAATGGAATTAATTTTTTTCACATATTTATCCTCAATTGTTGTAGCTGCTTCTCCTTTCTCAAACAAACGTGCAAATGAATGTCCAAGAAATTGTACCGAAATTAGAAGATTAATATTCACTTTACTATTTACATATTAATCTCTGGGAGAAAAGTAGCACACAACAAGCTAAATTTACCTGCATTTGGTAGGGCACATTAATAGTTATTTCCCATCTATAGATAAAAAACAAAACAAAACTGAAGCATTTTTGCATGTAACATGCTCAGAGTTACTGCAAAAGAAAACTTACTAGACTTTTGGGACAAGTCTGTTCTTAAAGCAAAAAAACCAACAAGAAGAAGAAAAAATGTTATTAAGTATCAAAAGTTCCAAGGAAGTACTACTTAAGACTTTTTTAAAAGTTTAATTTGAAGGACTGAATGCCATTCCTGACATTTGTTTACACATTTTAAAAACTCTGTTATGCATATCTTCAGTGGCAGATACACTTGTTAAATTATTTTGACAAGTCTTCCCATATAAGCAACTATAAAAATCATTTTGGAAAAGCACCAATGAAACCAAGCAATACGTAAGTAGGAAATAGAAAAAACTACATTTGGAAACTGCAGTCTTTTTTTAACTACTTAAATGAAAAGTATTACACTTAATCCTTAACAGTTCTTATAAATTGGTAAAATGACTACCACCTTCTAATTAAAAAATACATATCTGGGGGAAAAAAGTCAGCAGGGACAAGCCATAACCCCTATTAACAGCCTTAAATGAAAGATGGTATGTGCTGGGCATACAGTTAACAGTACAGGGAGACGGGGAGGGTTTTTTGTGTGTTTTTAAATCAGGAAGGAATTGCAAGGTTTTCAGTTTTCACTCCAAAAACAAAGTCTCACCATCTTACTTTCTGACTCTCTTTAAAGGTCACTTAAATTGATTTTCTTTTTTTTAATTTTAAAGATGTGCTTAGCCTTTAAAGATCAAACTAAAAAATTAGCTGGATAAGTGGAAAATATAAACTTTAGTACACTTAATACATGAAGTTTGAAAAACCTCATTTTCAAAGTATTATGGCCAACACCAATCAATATTTCTAAGTATCAGGGATCATAAGATTTACTAATCTGGCCATCCTAGAATGAAACAGAAGTCATCTTCTGCAATGCAGGATTCTAATTTCCGAATTTTACAATTTTGTTTTTCTGTTTTTAAATCTCAGCCTTTCAAACCTTTCCAACACCACTTACGTTAGTACATGCATTATTGCTCTGCTAATATTTGACTAGGCAACAATAAAATGACTTACAAAGCAATGTTGAAATTTGCCAGGGGTTTTGTTTTTTCTGTTTCTCTGAATGCACAAGATATTTCAAAGGTAGAAAGAGATGCCAGGGAAGGTAGCCCCTGGTAGGGGGTTATAGCGAGAATAGGGAGCACATCCAGTTGTCTGGGAACGAACGCTGTCAGGGCACTTTTCAAAGACACTTTGTAAATTGCCAACTGAAAACGGCCTCTTTGGACCTCTCCACGGCCTCCATCTGTCTGAATTCCCCACTCCCTTAACAGTCACCCCGGCAGGTCCCGAAGAAAACTGCATCTGTCGCTCCCGGGTCCCCTCCAACGACCCGAATTAACCTTCGCCTCGCGCGGCAGCGAAGCCACCTGGCATAACCCTGGGTAACGGGAGAGCAAGAGTGAATTGGGTGACGAATGCCGGAGCTCCTCCGCCAACGCTGCGCCGAGTCATGCCCACCTCCGCAGCCACCGGAGCGGCCCCGGCGTGACTGCCGAATCGGTCCTCCGCACCGACAAAGGTCCCCACGTCTTCGCTTTTCAATGTTTAACCTTCCTGTGTCCTTCTTCCCCATTCCCACCATTCTAATGGCCAAAAAAGAGCAGTAAGCGGTTGTGCTCGAAGGCACGGCAGGCGGCCTGGGCGTCCCGGGGAAAGGCACAGGAGAAGACAGACATCGGAAGGCTGCTGGCGCCGTCCTTCCGGGCCGGGGTAGGGTCAGCCCGCGAGGCCGCGAGGCCGGGGCCTCGCGTAGAGACGGGGCACGAGTAAGGGCGCGGCTGCGCGGCCGGGGCCCAGCACACATACTCACCAAATCTGGAACTTGAGCAGCGGCCCCGTAGCGTACTGCATCTTTAATCTCTTGCTAGGCATGCCGCCCAGGTTGGCCGAGGCATCGCTCCGGATCATCGCCGACGCCGCCACTAGGAGAAGTAGCAGAAGCCTCATCTTAGTAGAGCCAGCCACTTCGGCCGCCCTCAGACCGAGACTGCAGCCAGTCGCAGGCCGAGCGGGACCCGCGAGCCGCTCCCCACTGCGCAGGCGCGATCCTCCAAAGTCCGGGAGGGAAGCAGGAATGCGCCTGCGCAGCCCGGCTCCTGCGCACGCTCGGAGAGGCAGACCGGACCTGTTTCACTGTCCTAACCCACCATGTTGGGTGTGTGTAGAGACCGGGGATAGAATGAGAACTGCAGGGAGGGAACGAGGCAGCTGGTGGAATATCAGAGGATCCGATTAATTATAGCTTCGGGTATATATGTGGGTACTACGCACAGTGTGGTTTATTTCAGGCATTTATATGCCTGAGACACTTAGGAATATTATTTAATAGCCTTGATTCAGGTGTGGAAAATAGGAGAGCCCCCTGCTTTACTCTTTTTTTAAAAAATTTATTTATGTATTTATTATTAAGGTATGATTGTTATACACTCTTATGAAGGTTTCACATGAAAAAACAATGTGGTTACTACATTCACCCATATTATCAAGTCCCTACCCATACCCCAATGCAGTCACTGTTCATCAGTGCAGCAAGTTGCCAGAGATCCACTATGTCCATTCTCTGTGCTACACTGTTCTCCCCGTGATCCCCCACACCATGTGTACTAAACATAATACCCCTCAGTCCCCTTCTCCCTCCCTCCACACCCACCCTCCCACACCCCTCCCCTTTGGTAACCATTGCTTTACTCTTTTAGGGTGCCATGCTGTGGCCTTTCCTTTGATCTTACAATTATTGTTGTAAAGACCTTTGGAAAATTTCAATTATATAACAGAATCGAATAAATTACCTTACTCATTAACGACCTTTAACAATATACTGGCATTCTGACAATCTTGACTGCCTATAGCTCTAACTGCTTCTCCCTGAAGGCAAGCGAGGATCAGACATGTAATTTCATCTGTACATTTAAGCATGTATCTTTAAGAAATAACTATTCTTTTAAAAAAAAAAACCCAATGCCATTATTCCATCTTAAATAAAAACAGTAGCTCCTTAATATCAAATATCCAGTGTTCAAATTTCACCTATCTTAATAAACATTTTTGTATTGTTTGTTCAGATCAAGACCAAAATAAAATTAATCCATTGCCATTGATTGGTATGTCTTTTAGGTCCTGTCAAAGTCTTTAAGACCAAAAATACACCGGGAAATTAAATTCAATTATTCATTTGCAGCTAAAGGGAACACTAATGACTGGGAACCAAAGGGAGCCTGAGTTATCCTCTATGATAATATCTGTGTTTTGAGTGGATGATTTGGGGAAGGGAATGATGGAAGTCAATGGGAAATTTGGTCATATTTTTAAAATAAAGTCTCAGTATTAATAAATATTGGTCATTCTAGGTCATTCAGCCTAAGTACTGCAATTATGAAATACATCAGGATTTTGAGAAAATGTTGTCTAGATAAATGTAAACTGATAATTCTTCATACACAATAGGTTGAATGTAGCACATGAATCAAAAATTTTGTCCTAATTTAAGGATGCAGTTTAAGTCTGAAAACATTTCACAACTGTTAATTTCATTTAACTTAGACTTTAAGTGACTAAAACAAATTTTATATATCTTAGGACAAAAGGAGCTGCAAAACCAAAATCTTAAAACTGTTTTCAAAAATCACATTGATGTTGATAATAATCTTGTTTGTATTATTATCCTAAGACTCTTGCATGTAATGTGAGATAAAGCAAATGACTGATTATATTGGTGCCTATGGAAATAGGACTTTTGGGGTAGAAGAAAAGAAACAGATTTTACTTAATGTGATAAATACATCATGAGAGGTGGAGACAACTTCAGGGTTATAAGAATTGTTTTAATAAAAATCTGTTGAAGTTCTTTGCAATAATAGAGGAGAAATATCATATTTCAATCGAATTTGATAAAATTCAACTCATTCATTATAAAACTCATCAAAATTGGAAGGAAATTCCCTTAACCTGATAAAACGTATGTAAGAAAGGACAAACATCATACTTAATTTGAAATATTAGAATCCTAGGAAATTCCCATTTCAGTCATAAACAGGTCAAGTATATCCACGCTCACTGCTTCTCTTCAGCATTGTGCCAAACTGTACAATTGCACACTGTACTTAACAAATTTGCTAAGATAAGAAAAAGAATTAAAATGTGTATGGAATGCAAACAAAGAAAAACTGCCTTTGTTTGCAAACAATATACTTATATACATAGAAAACCAAAAGGAATCTATAAACTTTTAGTACAGAAAGGTTGCTGGATACAAGCTCAATTTACAAATGTCAATAGTTATCTTTCATCAACAGAGAAAATTTTTTAAAGTATCCCTTAATATTTCTTAGAATAAATCTAAACTGAAACGTGCAAAGCCTTTACAAGAAAAATAAAACCTTTCTACCCACTCTCTAAGGCCAATTCAGTTTCTGCAATGAAGTCTACCCTCGGGCCTCCCTGTGCTGTGGCCCTGAAGCTCTCAACACTGACCTCCCTATTTAGTCAACATATTTCATCAGTTATTATTTTATATATATATTATTAATATTATAACTGATTAGTAATCAGTTATCACTCTGCCAGTCTTCTCTTAGCTGAGCTTGGCAAGGGCAGGACTCATTCATCTTTGTAGCCTAAGTGACCATGGAGCTCTTTCAATTGTAACAGTAAGAACACAATGAGAATAAAATAAGAAAAAATACTATCAGCTGCTGTTTATTAAATATCTACTATACATACGGTACTGTTAAGGGCTTTACCTATATTATTTTTTTAATTACTGAAACAGAGCAAGTATTTTTGAATGCATGCATGTCAAAGGTGATTAAGATTTTGAATAGTGAGGAAGAGAGAATGCAAGCAAAGGCCAGGAGAAGGGTTACTGCATGACTACTGTGCTGGAGGAGAGGTTCTTCTAGATGAATGTAAACCAGATTTGGAGTGTAGACAGAGCAGATTGTGGAATGTAGGTGGGGCAGATTGTCTTCTACGCCAGGCTAAACAATTTAATTTTATTTTTTGCTATAGATAATAGGAGCTATTGAAGATAGGTGGCATTATCAAAGCACCCTCTTAGGAATACTGATGTGCTGTGTGCATAAAGATCGAAGTAAAGAGTGTCTAAAAGTAGGGAGTCATATATAGAAGGCAGACAATTACCACAGAACTGTCATTGTAAACCACTTGGCATAATGGAAAACCAGGACACAAGGAATAGACTTGGTGGGTTCTTGAAGAAAAACTTAAAAATCACTACAGAGTAAGAAAATATTTCAAATGGGACCAATAAGATGTGCAAAGGTAGGTGTGTGGGAATCTCATTTAACCTGGAAGGTTTCCAATATTGGGGCTCAGATGCATGGCAGATAGATATATACTTAACCGGAGGTGGGGCGACACAGAATGAATGCTTCTGGGAAAATGCATTTTAAGAGAAGAAGCCAACAGTAAGAGCAAGAGAACACTGGTCTCTGGGAGGAAAATAATTCCAACTCCAGTAATGTGACTGGCACTTAGATTGCACCCCTATCCCAATTCAACTAGACTAAAAAAAATGACAAGTCTAAAAGTCTAAAAATTCAGCACAATATTGGAACCCCAGAAGCACAGCTTTCAAAAACTCTCCCCTAAAAAAAGAATGTAATCCAAAGATGAGAGACATTCTTTATCTTATCCTGAAACATAAGCTATGGAGGGTGAGGATTAAATGGATCTGCATGTAGGACCAGTGATTTAGTGCTATAAGAGCTGACATAGTAATATTATGCCATTTATTCTCAAAGGCTAGTAGTTTGGTCCAAAAATCAACTTAAAAATTTTCCTGAGGGCAGAGCCAGGATGGCGGAATGAGTAGAGCAGCAAAAATCTCCTCCCAAAACCACATATATCAATGAAAATATAACAAAGACAACACTTCCTAAAATAGAGACCAGAGGAAACAGGACAACATCCAGACCACATCCACACCTGCGAGAACCCAGTGCATCGCAAAGGGGGTAATATACAAACACCAGTCGGGTGGGTCCCGAGTGCCCCTCCCCCCAGCTCCCGGCGGTAGGAGAGAGGTCTGAGCGGGAGGGAGGAGGAGGCCAGGACTGCTGAACAACCAGCCACAGCAATCTGGACCAGAGCGCAGACACAGTGCATGCACGGGGCCCTGGATACTAGGGAAACAGGGCAGCAAGAACGGTGAGCGGGTACTGGAGGCAGGCGCTGGAGGACAAAAGAAAAGTGAGCGGCCATCTTTTTTGTTGTTGTTGTTGTTGTTGTTTTGTTGCTGTGAGTGCTTTTTGGAAGTCTTAAAGGGACAGGGACCCCAATACTAGGGAAACAGGGCAGCAAGTCTGGTGACCGAGTGCCCAAGACTGGCGCTGGAGAATAAAGACAAA